ATTAGAGATACCAAGTTGTTATTGACTAGTTCTAGGAATAACTCAGTGTAAGTTATGGGGATAGGGTCAATATATATCATTTCTTGGTTATCCTAAGATCTTCTTAAACCACTCACTTGGTTGTTAAACTTTGAAGCTGATGAAGTGATATGACTGGGATACTCGAAAGGTCGATTAATAACTTTGTGAATAAGCTGATTATGGATATGATTGGTAAGGGTAACGTAAGATATTGTTCATAGCAAGATAATATAGAGAGTAACCTTATGGTGGATAGGGTTGATATCCCTTGAACTATCTATCAAGGCTTATAGTTTAAACTTCAGTTTCTTTCTTCTCTGGCACTTTTTGGTTTTTCCTCCTTTTAACTTACCATTTTTAATGGCATTCTCAATGATTTCACTTGAGATCACCATGTTAGCACAATTTTTTGAGGCATTTCTTATCATCTTTTTATAATAAGAAGATTTTAAAGTGCTGACGAACAACATTGTAGTATCTTTTTTAGTTAAAAGAGGCTACATTTGAGAAGCTATGTCTCTTCACTTTTGGGTATATTCCTTGAATGATTCGGTCACTTTCTTTTTCATATTCTATAAAGAAAGATGATCAGGGGTCAATTTTATAATATAACAGTACTAATTAATGAAAGTATGGGTCATATCGCTCCAATAACGAATACGGATCCTATCGAATTAGACATACCATCTAGCAATAGAGCTTATAAGGTTATCTTGAAATACATGTATCAATAACTTTTTATTATGAGTATGAACTACCATCTTCAGACAGTACATGGTAATATGAGTCTTTGAACACTTTATACCATTGTATTTTTCAAATTCTGACACTTTGAACTTTGGAGAAAGAACCACATCTGAGACTAAACAAAGTCCAGTTGTATCTACTGAACTATAAAAACCAACTCTTTCTACTGCTCGTAGCCTTTCTTCTAACAAGTTTATTTTTTGTTTAGCTTTTGAGGCTTTTAAAGTCTCTCTCTCCTTGGGCTTCAATTTTTTTTTCTTCTGGATCATCCAAATTAGGAATTGATATTGGTTCTATTACATTCTCGGTAAAGATAGGATTTACATAACTCTAATACTACCTTAAATTTGAAGTTGATGGTATTCTAAGATATATAGGATATGTGAATTGTTATGGTGAAATCTCTTGTGTAGACTGAGCTTTAGGTGGACCAAAACTATAAAGGTACAGTGGGTTATCCACCTCTTATGATGGATGATTTTATTGGCTAATACTTTCTTTTACACCTTTTTCCTTGTTTAACTTGTTCAAAGCTTTCAAAATCTTATTCAACTCCCCTTCTAGCTTTTCTTGAGCTTTCTCTATCCTCTCAAGATGATTAAAATTTTCTTGTTTCATCTATCTAGCTTGAGCCCTTGTGCTATATTGGTGAATTGGATTATTGCTTGGTGGAGCTATTCTTAAACCTTGAATACCATAATTGTGATAAAAAATGATATGCTATGCTTTTTGTTTGGTATGTTGATGCATGAATGAAATGTGCATTTTCATGGATGAAATCTAATATGAAAATGATGTATATGCACAATGTTACATATGACAATGAAAATGATGCATGACATGATAATGCAAATGCACAAAGTCAAACAAATAAAATGGTTAGATCATAAATCGTTCATTCTTGTGTCATAACTTTAGGTTACATCTATCATTGGGTAGAAATGGCTCTATTCTAAGGCTGGCGGCTTAAGTGTGAACTATATACAGGGATAGGTGATTTTGACTACTAACGGTTCCTAATTGTTCCTTACATAATCGTCTTTATAGACTAGTAAGGTATTCCAATTCTCATCCATCACAGGCTACCAACGAAAAAGATTTAATTTAAGTGAGAGTATTTCGCTAGCCATTACGGAGAATATTATCTCACAAGAGTATAAGTATTCTCTCTTCTAATAGGGATTAAACCTGAGTATAGAGCTCATGTAATGTAAATGCATGTGATAGTGTGTGTGAAGGAACATATAAGTTTCATGCCCTAAAAAAATCAAATAAAAGTAAAAAAAAATGTTAGTAAACAAATAACATAAATTAGTACAATTTAAAATCATTAGACCAAAAAATAGGATAAATTTAAAAGTTTATCGCTTGACTCTCTATGGCATCCCCAGTGGAGTCACCAAACTGTCATAACATATAGATTCGTAAATCTATAGCTAGAGTTAACAAAATGGATAGTGTTGCCACCGATCTTTTTTAGTATGTGTGATTGGCCACCTTATGAATCTATCCTTTTAAGGAGCTCCTAAGCTTGACTAAGGGTTCCTAAAATAATAGGTTTAGGTCTACAAACAAGAACAGAGTTTGAGAGTTCGGTTACATGTAGGAAAGGTTATAGCACCATCATATGCCTATCCAAAGGATGGTACCATATTATTTCAAATTTATCATAGGGTCTTGAGTCTAATGGTTTCAAATTTTTATGTTAAATATTAGAATAATTTATAAGATTCTTTCATCAATCTAGTAGAACTCTTAAAAAATATTTTCTTACCTCAAGAGTATTGAAAGATCTCATTTGTTTCCTTGAAGAGGCTCTGTCGTTAGAAAAAAGTTTATTTTTTTGTCAAAAATATATCTAATTATTCTATCATTTGGGCTAAATTAAAAATATTTTCTCTTTTGAAATTTTTAAAACTTTCACCATTTGGGCCTATTTAGAAATTATTTTTCCCTTTTTTTGTTGGAAAGAAAATAATATGACAATTATTTTTATTGAAATTTTATTTAAATTATTCAACAATTTTGGACAAATTTAAAGAAAATTTCTCACTTAGAGATTTCTTAAAAATTTACCATTTGAAATTTCTAAGAATCTCATCATTGGATAATTATCAAATATTTTTAACTTAAATTTTTATTTTTTTATTTTATTGTTTGAAAATAAATATTAATTATTGTTATTGAAATTTTATTTAAATTATTCCATCATTTGAGACAAATTTAGACAAAATTTCTCATCTAAGAATTTTATAGAAATTTAACATTTGAATTTCTATAAATTTCGTTATTGGATAATTAATATTTATTCTCAAAATATTTTATTTATTTATTTATTCATCTTTTTCTAAATTTAATCATGAAATGAAAAAAATACTAAGAAAAAAAAACAAACTCATAAATAGAATACTAAATAAAATAAATAAAAAATACCAAAGAAAAATAAAAAATCGACTGGCGGTTGGAATTCGGCTCGGTTGCAGGCATAACAACGACTCGAAACGCGACTTAGAAGAAAATTAGCTCAACTTAACTCAGCAATGTGGGTTTATGAAGCAGGTTGAAACGGGTCGGTGTTGCAGGTCGGGTCGCCTAAATGAAAAACGCACGGATCCTGAGTCTTCTTAAACGCCAAAATGGTGTCGTTTTAGTGATGCTATAAAAGGTCAAGTTTCAACCTTTCTCCTCATATTTTTCCTTCCTCCTCTCTATTTTCCCCATTTTTTTCTCTCCCTCTCTCTCTACCCGGATGAACTCTAGTTGAATCTTTCATCGAATTCTAAAAAATGTCACTGAAATCTGGGTTGGGTCATCGGATGATGACTAAAAAATTCAACTGGCGTCGAAAAACTCATCAAAAAACTCATTGAAAATAAAAAATTTTCTAGAAATTTCCTAGAAATCTGGATTTTCCAGATTTATTCCAAAAAACCCCCTTTGTTTTCTAAACCCAAAATTCTTCAAAATTTTTTACAATTTTTTGCTTGCTATGTTTTCTTACTTCTGCTCCTTTATTTTCTGTATGTTTTTTGTTCTAACTGTGTATGTATTTATAGGATTAGATCAGAAAAATTTTTGATCAATTAGGAGTCCTCCTTTGATTGGATTTCCTCATTATTAGAAAGCCTGAGAATTATCCTGGAGAGATTGAAACCAATTGTAATTTTGTCTATGCACGGCAGGATTTGCATTTTTCTTTTTTTTTAACTAATGTTATATTATCATAAAATAAAATAAATAATCAAAAATAAAATAAAATAAAATAACAAGCATATAGGCCTAATTACTTAGCCCAATTGAACTGGGCCCAATGAACTTAGGCCTAAACCCCGTTGGATCAGATTTAATGGGCTTGGGTCCGACCAATTAGGATGTCTACAAAAATGATTGAAGGGAAAAATAAATGAGAAATTATTTGATATATTTATAGTGGAATATTTGAATTTCATAAATAGAATTAAGATGATAATAAATTTTATTTTATAAAATTTATTTTTTTAAATATACACTAAAAGATATGTGTATATTTTTAAAAAATAATTTTAAAAAAATGTAACATGTGTAACCATCTTAATTTTATTTGTGAATTTAAAAAATTTCACTATTAATATATCTATTATCGTTTAAAATAAAAATAAAATAGGTAGCTGTTGAACTTATCTACTACTGGGGATACAAAGGAAAATTGATTTTTTTTTTTTTTTAAATTGAGATAAATAGACTACTCAATGCTAGACGTGATTTATTTTATATAAATAAAATTTACATTCAAGATTACAAATAGTTAAAGAATCACCAATAAAATTTGAATACAAATTCACTTACATCGAGATGAATAAATTTATCGGTTGACTAAATTTTTGGTAAAAATTATTTCTAATTAACGGTTTAGAATGGTATATATATTCTAAATTGTGAAAGTTGACATTTTGTCTCACCATTTGAAAAACCCATTGAGAAGGGCTACGGACAAACAAAGAAACAAATTGCTGGCCAAACCATTTTTTATTTTATTTTTCATTCGCGTATACATATGTGTATTAGGTTTAAGACCTAGGCTTTGACAATGGAATCTTCCTTTATATTTGGGACATTACTTCTAAAAAATGTTTTGCATTTGGGCCCTCACATACCACATGCTGCACACTTCTCCCCCTCGTAATTTATGGCTTTACGTGTGTGTGTTTTTTTTATCTAACTTTTTATGTTTTATAAATAGCTTGGATATAAGATAGGATCGAACCATAGCTTCCTTGCTTCACCCTCATTTACTTCACAAGATTAGCTCTCTAAAACTCTAATAAAATTCTATGCCTTCAGCATTATTTCTTGCTATGGCAAATGCGAGATGCAATTGTTTGTTTTTTTTAACTAATAATACTTTTTTTTGTCCCATGAAGTACTTTTTTTAGCCGAGGGACGGAGCTTGGAATTGAAGAATAATTTAGAGGCTGTGAATTTAATGTTGAGTCTTGATGGGAAGGTCAGCATTAATATTGTAAAACCCGTAGTGGACAATGTAGCTATCCCGAGCCCCTTACAACACGTTTTCAGGTCCTTAAAAGAACGTGCAGACCCTCGACCCACAACCCTTAGACATAGCCCTGGCGTCGGCTATTAATCCATTAACCAGTAAGATATATTGTATTTGTGGTAGGTTTGTCGTTGATATTGTAGGCAATTTGGTAATGTTTTCACTGTTTTTATCATTGCTTATCTGCTTGTACTTGTATCCCTACTTCCAATAAAAAGTTTGCAATAACTCGAAGAAATTTTTTCTTTTGCTCTCTCCTTTATCTTATTTTGATTCGAGGGTTTAGTTGGGGAAAAAGCTAGTATTTATATGTTGTTTCTAGGGTTTTAATTTTTTTTCTATTAAGGATCTTCTAGAGGGTTCGAGCATTGAAGATTTGAATCTCACACATGTTTTCCTAAACCCAGGTTTCGACTCGCTCGTTCTTCGAATTTTAATCATTCTTTTTCTTCTTTCTTTTTCAGATAGTTGACAATTACAAAGGGTCGTCGGGTCGACTTGACCGGAAAAAAAAAAGGTCAAGAAATGGTTGATTCTTGAAATCTCATACCAAGTAAATGTGACAGATGATAAGCTAGGATTTTGGTTGAAGACTTTTCCACAAATGATAGTGGATAAACCCTGGAATATGACTTCTTCGCACACCATTAGGAACCAAAAAGACAAGTGAGAAAGGGGATTTTATTATCTAAGTGAATCAACTATGAAGATCAAGTCCGCAGTAGAAAATTTATTCTCGAAAAGGAAGAAGTAAAAAATCAAGTCCGCGTGAAAAAGATCGTGTACGGTGTTCTTAACAAGTCAACAATGATAAGTTATTTATTTAATTCATTAAAAAAAAAGATGGAAATTAGAACAAAAAGTGCAGATAGCCGAAATTTGATATGCAAACCCGTCAAGATTCTTCCGTTCTCATCGCGCAGCTTCCTCGTCGTTTGGCGAGCTTCGGAACTTGGGCAAACTAGGCGCGACGACACGGATTTTACGAAAGGTTAATGCAGAGAGGGAGACATGGTCAAAGGAAAGTGGGATTGGCGATTATAGAATGCAGGGATAGGCAACCATTTACTTGACTTGCGCTAGGAATTGTGGGATTTAGGGTTTGGAGATACCAAAAAATAGTTTGCGCTATGGATAAAAAGATTGGGCCCCTCGACATGCGGTCCAATAACGTAGTTGGGTTATTTGGGGTTCCAGCAAGGCTCGTTAAGAGCTTTATCTTTACTTATTTTGCATTCTTAAAATTGTCAAAAAAATTATAAATTTTCTTAAATTTAGTGCATATTTAATATTTTGTAATAAATTACTTGCAAGTGTTTTTGGAACCAATCCTGATACAATTGTATTGAAATTTTTGTTTGTTATTACTTTAAAGAAAATACAGTATGCTCCGATCATCTCTAGAAATCATCTAATATTCTTTACAGTTAAAATGTGCGTAATTACAAGCTCTAGATGTTTCTCTTACATAGGTAATATGAGTTCGTGTACTTATACATTTGTGCATACATATCTTCTATTTTATTTTTTATTTATTATTTAATACAAAGATATAAATATATATACGTGTGTGTATGCGCTTGCTTGTTTGTAATATTATTTTCGAATATAAGAAGAACTCTTTAGAAAATGATAATGAAACCAATTTTTTTTTTAAACTGTCTAAAGAATCTAGTTGAGGGAACATTGGACTGGACTGGACAAGCTCATATGGTTCCTACTTTAGTTAACTTTACAAACCTAAATGTATGAAAGTGGTAAAGGGAACTTGAAAGGCTTAGCATAATGCTCAAAGTAGAGCTATACCAGTTAGTTCCGATGAGTTAATAATTCAATACATTATACAGTAAGTTTAAGATTTTGCTCCTCCTTCTTTGTGGGTCTATTGCTTGCTCCTGCAGGTAAGATTTCAATAGTTGATCCAAAGAAATTCATGTGGATTCTAACTACCAAAGAATAAAGCACTGCTACAAAAAAAAAAGAGAGAATTAAGTTATATACTTGGTCTAGAAGCTGAAGTGTTGGGCAATATTTTCCTGTAGGCTGTAAGCCATGGTAAATGATGTGGCTCATACTGCTGCCAAGACTTTCATAGCAAAGCTAGATGGCCTATATTTGCACTCATCTAAACAGAACAGCCTTGTATTCAAGGTGATGTTACTGATGCAACTCCCTTGTCCTACCCAAAATGGATAGATAATATTTTCAAAACCATCATAGATTAGTTGATTACCTATTGAACTGTTTCTATTAGAAAATTTTAGGATCAGCTAAAGTATGTTTTTGTTATTATCTCTTGTTAAACATCATGGAATCCCACCCATATATTAATGTCTAGGGATTATATTATATATATCAAGTAATCTTCCCTAACTTTAATTGAAATATCTCTAGATTATAGACAATATTTAAAAATAAATCTCAGCTTTAAAAATTATTTACTTTGTTTGAAGAGAGTTGAGGTCCAAGATTCAAATAGTTTATACTCTCCCACATATATAAAGAATTAATAATAATTATGATAATAATAAAACCCAAAATTTAAATAAGTTGATTCATAAAATCATTTATTCAAATTTAAAAAATTGACATCTAACAAATTTAAAATTCAAACTTTTGTATTTTCAAATTTTTTTTATATCTCCATATCACAACGATCTCATTTGTCCAAAAAAAATGATAAATAATAATATAAAATTTCATTTATGATGTAAACTTGGGAACTGTATACCTTTTTATTTTTATTTATTTATTTGTCTTTTTACATTGGAACTGGGCTCCAAAAGGAATGGACCACCAAGACTTCTATATTTTATGTTCACCCCATAAAATTGGAATCTAAGAGAAATGGGGGTGACATGCATTTTGATTGGGCTTTGCAGTCCAAGGGTACAATTATGGAAAATGTTTGGGCTTTGGCACCAGAGGATCATATTTCTAACTGGGGTTCTGTTGGGCCTAACAGACTTTACATATTTGAAAAAGACTGGGTACCCAGTCTAAGCCACGGGCCCACAGAAAAAAATAGTTAAAAAAAAAAAAACATTATCCTTTAAAAAAAGTCTAATTATACGGCTTGACAAAGTAGTCATTTAATTATGATTCTCTCGCTCGTTATCGATTAGCCGCATCATATGCAAATCTGCAGAAAGGTTTGAAAAGTGGGACCCAACACACTATACATAGAAATATAAAATTTCATAGATGAGTGAATATTTATCATCTATTTTCTAATTTCGTTTAACTATATAATTAAAATTTTAAACTCTTTTACATACGAAAATTTTAAAATCTTTCATAAACCTTTAATTGTATTTTTTAAAGTGATTGTTTAAAAAAAAAATTCATAAAAAATAAAAATTCCTTGTGTGTAAAATTAAAAAAAAATCATCATAAAGAAAACAATTTTGAAACATTTTAAACATGAAGAGAGGTATATTCAATTAGAAGATCAGAATTGTACGTATTTAAGTTTGATTAAAAAATGAAAAAAAAAAGAAAAGAAAATTAATTTTATGTTTAATATGAAAAATGAAAATAAAAAGAAAAAATATAGAATAAAATTGTAAAAAAAAAAAAAGAAAAGAAGAAAGAATGTTTTCCTCTCAATTTAAAAAGATTAGATATGAAAAAAAAATGTAATTCCATTTATTTTTCTTGCCTCTTACTATTTCCCTCTAATCAAGCAAAAAATATAAATTATAAGAATTATTTTCCCCCATTCCTCTTTCTTTTTCCCACTTACCAAACATAATGTAAGCCCTTTCCTTCCTCTTTTCTTCGTACAAACATAATGTCAACCCTTTTCTTCCTCCTGTTTCCCTCCTACCAAACATAAAAGACCATACCTCCTATAAAACATAAGGGACAAGCAGCTGATGACCAAACAAAGGGGCGATGTTGAAGCAGATATGCAGATATTTTTTTTGTTTTTGGCCAATGATAAACAGAGATTAATACTGAACTTTGCAGACTTAAAACACAAATGTGTTGGATTCTCTAATTTCTCATCAAACATCTGTGTAAAAAACTTAATACATGAACACGAAAAGTTACCGTTTGAAATAAATGACATAGTTTACTAATCTTGCAATTTGTTGATTTTAGACATGAATTTCATACCAAAAACAGACCAGACACTAAAAAAGAAAAGAGCACCCAGCCAACATCCACTGCAAAACCAAGTCCAAGGGGAGTATGATCTTGCACTCCATAGTCCAAACTGTTTTGTGGCCAATGAAACTTGAGTTTTACTCATGCTTTCTGATCCAGCTACACTCTGACTACCGCGGCAGTGATCCCAAGAGTTACATGGTCTTTGGTGTTCATTGGCTTGTGAACTATGAGTCACACAATTCTCTTGGTTTTTCTCACTGCATGGCGGGATGTAGTTACTAATAGGCTTGCAGTTGATTGGTGTTGTTTGTGAGTCACTTCCACAGAGCACAGTGGGCAACATAAGAGCACCAAAGCAGAGAGAAGCCATAATATGGAGAGCAGCAATCTCTTGTTTGAACATGACACAAATTCCTACTGAAATGACATCTTCATGGCTTAAGTTGCTCAGTGACAGAGAGGAAGCAAAAAGTAAAGAGGTAAAAAGAGTTTAAAGCCACACTTGAAATGACAGAAATAGATGCAAAACTAAGAGGAACAAACGAAAAAAGAAACTCATCATTTCATTTCATTCAGAATTGATGTTGGACACCTGCCAGGATTTGATGACTTGATGAATTTAAATGAGAATTATGACATTGCATTTCCTTTGGCAGTTTTAACTCAGTTGTGACCTGGCAAATGAGTAGGCAGAAATCTCCCTAAGTGGTTGGCACGCATTGAACTAAACTTAACAGGCAAAGGACCAAGAACCAACAGATTAAACAGGGTGTTTGGTGAATCGATGCCTCTTGTTTGCTTTGAAGCTCACAATGAGCCCAAAGATCAAACTTCACATGCTTTTATTGAAAAAAAAGGAGGGGGATGCATTCGTGTCTGATTGTAAGAATGACTAAACGAAATAATTGCCGGAAGTGACCTTGATATTTTACTCAGAAACCTGGGAATCATGATTTAGAGATCGACAATGGGGCATAACAAAAGTGTACTGGAGTTGGTGAGATCTCGAGCTTTTAATTGCAGTTATGGTCTAGGTCTTGTTGACTGATTTCTGTAGCCTGAAGGGGTTCCATTTTTTTTACCCTTTAATTGCAGTTAGGGTCTAGGTCTCGTTAACTCATTTCTGTAGCCTAAAGGGGTTCCTTTTTTTTTTCATATATATATATATATATATATATATATATACATTGGACAGAGAGATTAGCTCAGGCTCAAATCAGCATCGAATTTCACATTCCTGATGATTTACCTGATTGTGTCTTTTTTGGCTAACAACCGATTTGTTAAGGACTGAAAATTATAGGGGAGCATTGTTTGAGCAATAGGTGGAATAGGAAAGAAGGCCCCATGTTTTCGAATCTGTGTGCTCTGCGCTAGAATGAATCTAATGTTTTGAGAAACCACAAAGCAGATAAATGTGTTTATTTACAAAGTGCTCAGATAGAAGTCAGGAACTATGTGACCTAAGAAGCATTCTTAACCAAGGAGAACAATGAAAAGTAGGGTATAGGAAGGTTGATAAAAAGTAAGATCATGAAGGAAATTGGACAATCCTGAAAATTAATACTGAACTTTTGCACACTCAAAACACAAATGTATTCTATTCTCCAATTGGTTCAATAAACAACCCAAGCGCTAGAAAAATATAACCGTACTATACAAACAAAATATCTCCATCAAATATCTGAGCAAGAAACTCAACACGACCATGAAAAGTTACCGTTTGAAATAAACAACATAGTCTAGTAATCTTGAAATAAACAACATAGCCAAGAATTTCATACCAAAAACAGACAAGTCACCAAAAGAGAAAGAGCACCCAGCCAACAGCCATTGCAAAAACCAAGTCAAGCAGAGTATGATCGTCAACTCCAAACTGTTCTGTGGCAGCTGAAACTTGAGCTTTACTCTCAGTTTTTCCTGCTTGGCTCCCTCCACCACGGCAGCGGTCTGAAGGGTTACATGGTCTTTTGTGTATATTGATTGGTGGGCTATGAGTGACACAATTCTCTTGGTTTTTCTCACTGCATGGTTGGATGTAGTTCGCAATAGGCTTGTAGTTTATTGGTGTTGTTTGTGAGTCAACTCCACAGAGCACAGTGGGCAACATAAAAGCAACAAAGCAGAGAGAAGCAATACCATAGAGAACAATCATTTGATTGAACATAGCAGCCATTCCTCCTGAAATAATATTTCGTGTCTTAAGTAGCTAAGAGACAGAAACGAAGCAAAATGTAAGAGGTAAAGAGAGTTTAAAGCCACACTTGAAATGACAGAAACAGATGAGAAACTACAAGGAACAAACAAAAAAAGAAACTCATCATTTCGTTTAATTCAGATTCGATGTTTATTTGATGACTTGCTGAATTCAAATGAGCATTATGACTTTGCATTTCTTTGGCAGTTTTAACTCGGTTGCAAGCTAGCAAATGAGAAGGCAGAAATCTCGTAAAGTGGTTAAGGACCAAGAACGGACAGATTAAACAGTATAAGGACCAAGAACGAACAGAAAGCCTAATATCTACCGCATGGTGAGTTCTGCAACCATGAAATAACATGTTGAAGGCTATTCGAGTTAGCATGGCCACAGTTCAGCACCACAAAAGTTATGGCAAATTCAAGCCCAAGCATGAGAATACATAATCATTCCCTTTAAACTTGTAAGCCAAGACATACACAGCATTCCTCTTTATGTGAAATCAACAAAAAAATGTCAATATAACAAAAACAAGTCTATTTCCTACCATGCATCAGATTCAGATCAAGTTTCAAAAGCTTCCCACCATCAAGTTTCTATGCCAAAACCCATACAGCAACATATAAATCAATAAAAACAAAAACATAAAAAATTCATCATAAACAGATGCAAAACTACAAGGAACAAACGAAAAAAAGAAACCCATCATTTCATTTCATTCAGAATTGATGTTGGACACCTGCCAGGATTTAATGACTTGATGAATTTAAATGAGTATTATGAGATTGCATTTCTTTTGGAAGTTTTAACTCAGTTGCGACCTGGCAAATGAGCATGCAGAAGTCTCCTAAAGTGGTTGGCACAAACTGAACTAAACTTAACAGGCTAAGGAAGAACCAACAGATTAAACAGGGTAGTTGGTGAATCGATGCCTCTTGTTTGCTTTGGGATGCTCACAATGAGCCCAAAGATCAAACTTTACATGCTCTTATTGACAAAAAAGAAAAAAAAAAAAGGAGGGGGATGCACTCATGTTTGATTGTAAGAATGACTAAACGAAATAAGTGCTGGAAGTGACCTAGGTATTTTACTAAGAAACCTTGGAATGCTCATTCAGAGATCAACAATGGGGCATAATAAAAGTCTACTGGAGTTGGTAAGATTTTCGAGCCTCTAATTGCAGTTATGGTCTAGGTTTGTTGACTCATTTCTGTAGCATAAAGGGGTTCCTTTTTTTTCACACAACACACACACACATATATATATACAGCTTTGCCAAAGAGATTAGCTCATCTCAAATCAGTATAAAATTTCACATTCCCGATGATTTACCTGATTTGTGTTTTTTTGGATAGTAACTGATTTGTTAAGGACTGAAAATTATACAGTAGCATTGTTTGAGCTATAGGTGGAATAAGAAAGAATGCCCCATGTTTTCAAATCTGTGTGCTCTGTGCTAGAGTGAATCTAATGTTTTGAGAAACCACAAAGCAGATAAATGTGTTTACTTACCAAGTGCTCAGATAGAAATCAGAAACTATGTGACCGACGAAGCATTCTTAACCAAGGAGAATAATGAAAAGTAAGGTATAGGAAGGTTAATAAAAAGTAAGATCAAGAAGGAAATTGGAAAAACCTTATGAGAAGCGGTTATTTGAAACCAAATGTTACAAGTTGAATTGAAGAAGAAGGCCATGTTAGTTATTTAGTAGTCATTTATATTTTTTTACAGTCAGTATATATGAGTCAGCATGTTAGTTATTTTGTTGAAAACTTGACAGCTGGTTGTCAGTATATATGAGTCAGCATGTTGGTTATTTTGTTGAAAATTTGACAGCTGGTGTAACAATGATTACAGAACTATTACAAAAGGAGGTGGTTACAGGAGGAAATACAATTTTACACCCATTTCCTATATTCTAGAATTTCTTCCTATCTCTCTTCTTCCTTCTCTCCTTACCTCTATTTCTGAAATTTTAGCTACTAGAAATTTGAGTTTTCACAGAGGAGTTGAGCTAACAGTGGTTCGATTGAGCAGCATCATTCTTGGTATCAGAGCCTCGGTTCTTGGCAATGACAGAGGGTATGACAACTAGGTTACAGAGAGACATGGGCCAGATGCAAAAGGAGCTGGAGAGGGTGGAGGCCCAATTTGACACCTCTATCAAGCAACTTAATGATAAGATTGATTCCTTTGCAGAAGAAATGCGTGGCATGTTTGAAAATATCATGAACAGCAGGCAAAGCTCACTTCAAGAAGTTGAGATAGGAGATTCAACAGCACCATCAGCTAGGAAACAGAAATCTGTCGTGGGTGATGTGGAAGGTAGCAGGGTCATTATTCATAGACCCATTTTCGCTGAAGCAGAGGAAGTTGCAAGGGTACCAACCAAGTCCTCTAAGTTGGAATGCCCAAAATTTGATGGAGACGATTTCAGGAGATGGTTGTTGAAGATCGAACAATTTTTTGAAGCTGATCAAACTCGGGAAAATGAGAAAGTGAGGACTATGATGATGCATTTGGAGGGACCAGCTTTACAGTGGCATCAGAGGTTCATGAAGAATCAAGGAAGTCTTCAAGAGGTAAGCTGGCTCACTTATGTTACTGAGATGAAGACTAGATTTGCAGAAACTAAGTTCTTTGATCCTATGTTAGAAATGGTGGTGTTGAAGCAACACAATACTGTTGATGAATTTTATAAGGAGTTTGAAAGTTTATTAAATTTACTCTCCATTTCTGATGACAATGCTCTCAGTATATTTTTGGGAAATTTGAAGCCTGAGATTTCTAAGCCTGTTAGAATGTTTTATCCTAAATCCTTAAGCCATGCTTACCAGTTGGCCAAACAGATGGAGTCCCTAATATACAATGTGCCCAGAAAACCTTATATACCTTACAAGAATCCTATAACAACTCCTATATCCCATAATAATCCTTATACCTCTAAAACTACATTACCCCCACTGTTACCAACCCCAAAAAACCCTTTCTTAAATTACAACCAGCCTACTACATCAACCGACTCCATAAATACCTACAAACCCACAACCAGTAAACCTGAGTCAACTCTAGTAAAATACAATGTTATCAAAATACCAAACTGGAAGGAAAGAGATGACAGGAGGAAGAAAGGACTTTGTATGTGGTGTGGGATTAAGTTTACACCAGGCCACAGGTGTGTTAAGGCTCAATTGTACCAGATGTTTACAGAGGAAAGGGAAGACAATAATAATGATACTGAGGAGTTTTGTGATTGTGTAGACAATCTGGAGGAGATTGGAGAGGAAGCCCATGAATTACAAAACAGGCATGTCATCTCTTTACATGCTTTAATTGGAGTTGAAGGTCATACGACCATGAGATTATATGGTCGAATACCAATCAGTAGTGTTCTTGGTTGACTCTGGAAGTACCCATAATTTCATTGATCAATTATTGATTAAGAAACTGGGATTTAACAATCAGAAGATCGCTAGAATCAGTGTCACTGTAGCTAATGGTAACAAATTATTAACTCAGGATGTATGTAAAGCATTGACTTGGGAGGTTCAAGGCCTAGTCCAACATACTGATTTCTTTATGCTACCTTTAATGGGCTGTGAAGCAGTACTTGGGGTGCAATGGCTCCAGACACTAGGGCCTATTCTATGGGATTTTTCCTTGCTGACCATGCAATTTGCTGTAGCAAACAACTGGTATAAACTACAAGGAATAGAGGCTGCTCAGGTACATATGGCTACAAGTAAGCAATTTGCTAAGTTGAAGGTGGTTAGTAAGACAAGTGGACTAATGATGATATCTGGTTTGGAGTTTCTCAGTCTCGAGATGAGTTACACCAGTTTAGTCAACAAACTGAATTACCACATGATTTGCAGGAATTGTTACTACGATACTCTCTAGTCTTAGAGACACCTACAAATTTACCTCCATCAAGGCCTCAAGATTGTAAGATACCTTTGATAAATGAATCTCAACCTGTAAAGATTAAGCCTTATAGGTACCCAATTGTACAAAAAAATGAGATTGAGAAGATAGTAGCAGAAATGAAAGAGGCTGGAATTATAAGAGATAGCAACAGTTCATTCGCATCTCCAGTGGTTCTAGTGAAAAAGAAAGATGGCTCGTGGAGGCTTTGTGTGACTACAGGCAGTTGAACAATATCACACTTAAAGATAAGTTTCCCATTCCTTTAATAGAAGAGTTGTTAGATGAATTATCTGCTGCTTGCTGGTTCTCTAAGCTGGATCTCAGATCTGGTTATCACCAGATTCGAATGGATCCTGCAGATATTCATAAAACAGCTTTCAGGACTCATAAGAGATAGCAACAGTTCATTCGCATCTCCAGTGGTTCTAGTGAAAAAGAAAGATGGCTCGTGGAGGCTTTGTGTGACTACAGGCAGTTGAACAATATCACACTTAAAGATAAGTTTCCCATTCCTTTAATAGAAGAGTTGTTAGATGAATTATCTGCTGCTTGCTGGTTCTCTAAGCTGGATCTCAGATCTGGTTATCACCAGATTCGAATGGATCCTGCAGATATTCATAAAACAGCTTTCAGGACTCATAAGAGATAGCAACAGTTCATTCGCATCTCCAGTGGTTCTAGTGAAAAAGAAAGATGGCTCATGGAGGCTTTGTGTGGACTACAGGCAGTTGAACAAGATCACACTTAAAGATAAGTTTCCCATTCCTTTAATAGAAGAGTTGTTAGATGAATTATCTGCTGCTTGCTGGTTCTCTAAGCTGGATCTCAGATCTGGTTATCACCAGATTCGAATGGATCCTGCAGATATTCATAAAACAGCTTTCAGGACTCACCAAGGGCACTATGAGTTTCTGGTCATGCCCTTTGAATTGACTAGTGCACCTTCTACATTTCAAAGTTTAATGAATAGTGTATTCCAGCCTTTCCTTAGAAAATTTGTATTGGTGTTCTTTGATGATATCATGGTTTATTCATCAAACTGGAATGATCATTTAGCACATTTGCAGCAGGCATTTGATGTATTAGTCAGCAACCATTTATTTGCTAAGCTTTCAAAGTGTGACTTTGGTGCTACTCAAATTGAGTATTTGGGGCATGTGATCAGTAAGGGGATAGTTGCTATGGACAGTACTAAGGTTGAATGTGTTAAACAGTGGCCAATGCTTGAGTCTGTTAAAGAATTAAGAGGATTCTTGGGCCTCACTGGGTATTATCGCAGGTTCATTAAGGGATATGGAACTATGGCAAAACCATTGACTGATTTACTGAAGAAAAATGCCTTTAATTGGCAAGAAACAGCAACAATAGCTTTTGAAAAGCTCAAGCAAGCTGTAATATCAGCTCCTGTTCTAGCACTACCAGATTTCAACTCAACTTTTGTAGTTGAGTCAGATGCTTCAAGTTGTGGAATTGGTGCTGCATTGAGTCAAAATGGTAGGCCAGTTGCTTATTTTAGCAAAGCTTTATCTCCTAAACATCAGGCACTGTCTATCTAAGAAAAGGAGATGTTGGCCATATTAGCTGCAGTGAAGAAATGGAGTGCGTATTTAACTGGAAGGCATTTCCAGATAAAAACAGATCACCAAAGTCTCAAATTTTTGCTGGACCAGAAAACAAACATGCCTGCTCAACAACTTTGGGTTGTCAAGATGATGGGATTTCATTATGAACTTGTCTACAGGAAGGGCTCTACCAACATGGCAGCCGATGCTCTTTCTCGAAATCCTGCAGCCTTGTTATATGCTTTATCTTTTGTAGCTAATGATATAATGGCTAGGATTAAACAGTCTTGGTTGAAAGATCCAATGTTGATACATTTGCTACATAAGCTCAAGAACAACCCAGGACAGTCTCCTAAGTGCACTTGGCAAGCAGGTCAGTTGAGAAGGAAGGGAAAACTTATGGTGGGAGCTGATTCAGAGTTAAGGAAGGATTTATTGACATTTTTTCATGATTCACTGGATGGAGGGCATTCTGGAGTAGAGGCAACTATGAGGAGAATAGCTAATGTGGTATATTGGAGAGGAATGAAAAAAGCAGTTCGGCAGCATGTCAAAGAATGCACAATTTGTCAGAAATGCAAACATGAAACTGTCTCTCCAGGTTTGTTACAACCTTTACCAATTCCTGATAAGATATGGGCTGATGTGTCTATGGATTTTATAGAAGGTTTGCCTAAGTCATTTGAGAAAGATGTTATAATGGTGGTAGTGGATAGGTTAAGTAAATATGCCCATTTTATCACTCTGGCTCATCCTTTCACTGCCATTACAGTTGCTCAAGCCTATCTAGACAATGTGTACAAGTTGCATGGAGTACCTAATACCATTGTTTCTGACAGAGATAGGATTTTCACTAGTTCATTTTGGAAGGAATTGTTCAAATTATTGGGAACCAAGCTAAAAATGTCTACTGCTTATCACCCTCAAACAGATGGACAGTCTGAAGTGCTCAACAGATGTTTGGAGACATATCTAAGGTGCATGACAGGAGAACAACCTAAGCACTGGTCCAAATGGATCTCTTTAGCAGAATGGTGGTATAGCACTAGTTTTCACACTTCCATTAAGACTACACCATATGAGGCAGTCTATGGTCAACCTCCTCCCATTCATCGACCATATCTACCTGGAGATTCTAAAGTGGATGAACTGGATAGAAGTTTGCAAGCGAGAAAGGCCACAATCAAAATTTTGAAATTTCATTTGGATAGGGCTTGAAATAGAATGAAGCAGCAAGCTGACAGACACAGGGTTGATAGGCAATTTGAGATTGCTGATTTAGTTTATGTTAAGCTCCAGCCATACAGACAACAATCTGTCGCAATAGGTCTTGTTTTAAGCTAGCTGCTAGGTACTTTGGCCCTTACAAGGTGTTGGAGAAGATAGGAGGACCTGTTGCCTACAAACTAGAATTGCCTGCTGAAGCCAAAATTCATCCTGTCTTCCATATTTCACAGTTGAAGAAGCACATTGGGAAGGTTCCAACACAATCTAATCTTCCAACGATTGATGCAGATGGAATGGTGGCCAAGGAACCAGTGGCAGTTCTAGATAGAAGACTGACTAAGAAAAGAGGTAGAGCAACCTGGGAAGGATTATATGAGCTACAGAAAAAGTTTCCTTGCTTCAATACTTGAGAACAAGGATTATTTCGAGGGGAAGGTAGTTGTTACAAGTTGAATTGAAGAAGAAGAAGGCCATGTTAGTCATTTAGTAGTCATTTATATTTTTTTTACAGTCAGTATATATGAGTCAGCATGTTAGTTATTTTGTTAAAAATTTGACAGCTGGTGTAACAATGACTACAGAACTATTACAAAAGGAGGTGGTTACAGGAGGAAATACAATTTTACACTCATTTCCTATATTCTAGAATTTCTTCCTCTCTTCTTCCTTCTCTCCTTACCTCTATTTCTGAAATTTTAGCTACTAGAAATTTGAGTTTTCACAGAGGAGTTGAGCTGACAGTGGTTCGATTGAGCAAAATCACCAAAAAAGAAAAAAATAAAAACCTCTTGATAGGCCAAGTGTAAAAGGAAAACAGATCATTCAGTTCTGATCCTAAACATAAACCCCCACCTTAATCTGACATCACTGCAGCTATAAAAAGGCTTCAAGCAGCTATAACATGACGATGGTTTGGAAAGCCATAGAAGGAGAGCATAAAACATAAAAATCAATAAAAACAACAACATAAAAATTCAGTATACACAAAGAAATACCCCCAAATTTATAGTTACAAAAAGGGAAGAAAAAAAAAAGAAACAGCCACCCTACATACGCTCGCATATAGGTTTATATAAAACAAGTAAAGAAAATAAACAGAAAATCTATTAAAATAAACACATAAATAAAAAGTAATCGAAGGGCTCACCAGAATTTCTCGCTGGATGTATCAAATTGAACAATTGTAAAGAAAGATGAAAAGGAGAAGATTAGGACTTTTATAGTGAAGAAAATTTGAATTCCCATCAATTTAAAAAGGATTAGCCAACAACATAATGAAAATCATGAAATCATAAATTCTTGTTTCAAAAATTATACGATGGGAATTAATCAATTTTTTTCTTTCATTTTTTTTTGTAACATTTAGTACTTTCTTTGAAACACACTATAATTAAGAGAAAAAGAAAATGAAAGTACCTTAAACTCCTTTGAAATAACTCGAAGAAGCTCTTTCTTTTGTTCTCTCCTTTAGCTTCTTTTGCTCTCTCCTTTAACTTATTTTGATTCTAGGGTTTGGGAAAAACGATAGTATTTATACGGTGTTTCTAGGGTTTTTTAGGCTACGTCTTCTCATGGTGTCATAAAAACACAGGTTGAGTCCTTTTAAGGTAGTTTACAATCGAATATTGGAATCTCACACGTGTTGTCCTAAAAACCCAGGTTGAGCGAATCCAGGTTCAGCGACTCGCTCATTCTTTGAATTTTTAATCGTTCTTTTTCTTCTTTCTTTCAGATAGTTGACAAACAGACGATGAGGGTCGGACATCGAAGATTTTAATCATTCCTTTTCTTCTCAAGATAGTTGACAAACCTTCTAGCGCGAAGATTTGAATCTCACATGTGCCTTCCTAAGCCTGGATTGCGACTGAGCCCCTCTTCGAATCTTAATCATTCGCTTTCTTCTTTCCTGACAATTTGACCAGAAAAAAATTTTCAAAATGCTCAGTAAATGTGACAGATGCTAAGCTAGGATTTTGTTTAAAGAGTTTTCCACAAATGGTAGTCCATAAACCCTTGAATAAGGAAAAAATATATATAAATACAATAAAAAATGTTGTCAATACGACTTTTTCGTACTCCATTAGACCAAAAAACCAAGTGAGAAAGGGGATTTCATTGTATAATGTGTATCAACAATGAAGATCCAGTCAGCAATAGAAGATTTTCTTGTTAAAAAGGAAGAGGGGAAAAACTAAAGTCCGCGTGAAAAAGATCGCGTACAGTTTTCTTATCAAGTCAACAATGATAAATTATTTACTTAATTCAACAAAAAAAGATTGGAATTGGAACAAAAAGTGCAGATAGCTGAAATTTTATACGCCAACCCGTCGAGATTCTTCCTTTCTCATCCCGCGGCTATATTTGTTAATTGCTTTTAAGATCCTAGCATTACCATTTATCCCGATTCGATTGGTTGGTATTTGTTACTTGATAATTAATTATGAGTTTGGTCCTCAAATAGCATATGGCCTTGACTCATTTGTCCTGAAAAAATGGGTTGAGTGAAAAATACCATAGGCTGAGTAAAAATCGGGGCATTCTCATTTGTATTGAAAGAATGAGTTAAGCATATAATGCTATAATAATTTTAATCTAATTTTTAATTTTTAGATTTAAATCTATTATTTATATGTAATATAATAAAAAAATAAAATTATCTTATCCATTGCATTGACAAGTTTATATTTTAGAATAATTAAATTTAATAAATTAATTAATTTAATATAATACTATATGTTGTTAAAAAGTACTATTAAATTTAAATAGACTTTATATTAGAGTTTAGAGAATTAAGTTAAAAATGTTATTTTTAATTTGTTTTTGTTGGTGAGAAAAGGCTCTTTCTTTCATGCTTCAAAATAACATTACAATGCAAGTTTTAGTTGTAATCTTTTATATAATTTTTTATCCTAAAATAAACTTTTTACATGTAATATTTTATACCATATTTTCATTTCTAGAATGCTCTGTCTTCTTCTACTCTTCATTTTCTTTTCTTCTTGCTATTCAATCTGTCTGAACGTGCTTTCCTTTTGTTTTTCAGTTTCCAAAATTTTTACTTGAAATTCCTTTATTTTATATTTTTGCAAGTTTTAGATTAATTTTCAATTCTCCATTCTTTTTTATAAAGTTTATGTATGCATTCATATTTGTTTTGTATTTCTTTAATTTAAAGTATTTCTATGTCAATTGCTTATTTTCTTATGATGTTTTCGATTTAGTGTAGTTTCTTTTATAACTAATCAATGTAGTGAATATTTAATTATCATTTGTTCAATGCTCTTTCTTGAAACGTTTAGTGGTAGAATAAATTTTAACAAAGAAACACGAGCCAAATCTCCTAAAATCAAATGCTAAAAGTCAAAGTGAGAATGATAAGCAAGGACTTTTCAACAATTGATGGTGGATAAACCCTTGAACACCAAAAAACAAAAAATGTTTTTATGGCAAAAGGAAAGTGAGAAGGTGAAAAATTCAATGAATTTTGGGTTCAATCTTTACGAGTAAAACAGAAGGAAACAATTAACAGGTCAACAATGACAAATTATTTATTTAATTCAACAAAAAAAAGATGGAAATTAAAACAAAAACAGCATATAGTCAAAATATGGAATTCAAACCGGTAGATATTCTTCCTTTCTCATCACGCGACTTCCTCGTCGATCGTGAGCTTCTGAAGTTGGGCAAACTCGTCGCCACGACATGGATTTGACGGAGTGCAGGGAACAAGAAATATTTGGAGATTTAGGGACGCAAGAGCCACAGCAATTGACTTGCGTTGGGATTTGTGGATTAGGGTTTGGAGATACCCAAATAAGCTGGGCGTTTGAGCTACGGACAAAGAGGTTGGGCCCTTTGACTAACATAGTTGGGTTTTCAACATAGCTCCTAACCAGCTCTAGCTTTACTCCTAGAATTATTAAAAAAAAAAAGATAAAATTTCTTAAATTTAGTTCATATTTAAAATTTAGTAACCATATTTCACTGAAATTTCATAGGAACTATTGAAAATAAGGCTAATATTACTAAAATTAGATAAAATTGCTTAAAATAATCATTTATTTGAGGTTACTGATTTTGCATATAAAAATTATTAAAATTTTGTGAACATATCTTAAATTTTATTAACTCAATATTTAAATATATCTCAATAACTTTACGTGACTAAATCTAATATTTATTTATAGAGAATGAGAAAAAGAGAGAGTCCACGTGGTATTTCCCCTTTCTTTTATTTTTATTATTTTTCTTGCTTTATTTTTTATTAAATTTATTTTTTAAAAACTTTGTTATTTATTTTTTTATTTGATGAATTTTGTAAAAAAAATCAATAAAAGTGGAGATAATAAAATAATTCATATTCGGTATTTTTGATTCGTATTAATTCAACATTATAATATTTTTTGAAAAAATAAGATTGGATTATTTTTTTATTGGATTATTTTTTTTTAATGAGGTAGGATTAGAGATAAATTTAAAAAATTTCATTATATCTCGAATGTTCACGTGATACTTCTCACCTTTTAAAAAAAAAAATTTGTAAAGTCTTTGATTTTTATCAAATAAATTTTATATGAATTTTGATTCATCCTGACTAAATTATTGCTTTTTTTTTTTAATTCAAAATATTTTAATTGAATTTTTCTTTCAAATCAAGTTCGGGTCAGAGTAAAATTTTAGATGTTACTCATCGATTTTGATATATATATATATATATATAATATTTTATTATTTATTTATTTCTCTATTTATATACATCATTAAAAAATATTTAATATCTTAATCTAATAAATTCATAAGTCATCTCATGTATTTTTTTGTCATTTTCTTTTAATTTTTTTATTAAATAAATTTTCTAAAAAAATCAATGAATGTAAAAAAAATTAAATAATTTATATCTGATAGATTTCAATTTGTTATAATCCAATTAATACAATTATTTTTAAAAAATAAAAATTGAATTAAATTCTATCTCTTTAAATAATTTGAGTTAAATTGAAATTGGGTATGAAGTGCTCTACTTCGATCCTCCTATATAAAAAACATATTTTATTATTTATTTAATGTGTATTTATATGTATATTATATTACTAAAAATATTATTTAAATTACTCGCAAGTTTTTTTGAACCAATCTTGATAGAATTGTACTGAAAATTTTGTTTTATAACTTTAAAGAAAACACAATATGCTCCAATCATCTCTAGAGATCATCTAATATTTTTTACAGCTAAACTGTTTGCAATATGAAACTTTTGACATGGCTAATGGTATGTTTCCATGTGAGCATCACTGCAGTAAATACCACGAGGCATGCATTTATACTCTTTGTGCTGCATTCACTTAGAGGGTATTACAGCAGCATCTCTGGAAGTTAGTATCTATGCTTATTTGAGTTCATGTACTTATACATTTGTGCATACATTTCTTCTATCTTATTTATTTTTGTGATTTATTATCTAATACAAAGATATGTGTATATATACAGTGTGCGCCCACTTGCTTGCAAGATGCTTTGTAAGTATAGGAAGGATTCTCTAGAAAGTGGTGATGGAACCAATTTTTTTTACTGTCTAATGGATCTAGGTGAGGGGACATTGACTGGACTGGACAAGTTCATTTACTTCCAACTTTAGTTAACTTTACAATCCTAAATTTATGGAAGTGATAAAGGGAACTTGAAAGGCTTACGATAATGCCCAAAGTAGAGCTATGCAAGTTAGTGTTCTGATGAGTTAATAATTCGACACATTGTACAATTTGTTTAAGATTTTGCTCCTCCTTTTTTGTGGGTCTATTGCCTGATCCTCCAGATAAGATTTCATTGGTTGATCCAAAGAAATTCATATGGATTCTAACTGCCGCAGAATAAAGTACTTCAAAAAAAAAAAAAGAGGTGGCTGGAAGTACAGTTTCTGAAACTGACGGCTTCCTAAACAGGGATGAGAATTAAGTTATATACTTGGTATAGAAGCTGAAGTGTTGGGCAATATTTTCCTGTAGGCTGTAAGCCATGCTAAATGATGTGGCCCAGACTGCTGCCAAGACTTTCATGGCAATGCTAGATGGCCTATTTTTGCTATCATCTAAACAGAACAGCCTTGTATTCAAGGTGAAGTTCCTTACTGATGCAACTCCCTTGTCCTATCCCAATTGAATAGATAATGTTTTCAAAACTATCATAGATTAGTTGATAATATATCTATTGAACTGTTTCTATTAGAAAATTTTGGGATCAGCTAAAATAGGTTTTTGTTATTATGTCTTGTTAAACATGAATATTGTTCTGCATTTGATGAATTAGGTCACCAGTTTCCTCCAAGACGAAAGCACGTGTTATATGAGAAGGGAAGTAGGGGGTTCAAATTTAGATTCCAAAACCTTCATAATGGCAATTCTTGGTGAAAACAGGGCTTTTCGATTTTCTTTTGGTTACAGATTCCTGTGAATTGTAGGCTAAAATAAATAAATTGACCACATGCCTCTTGAAATTATTATTGCATTTTCCATTTCCATTTGCTTACAACAGCTAAATTGCTTTTACAGCAGCCTAGTTTGTTTTTCAATAACAGAATTTGTCAATAGGGTCACATTGAAGAGGGATAGCAAATTATGCTATCCGTAACATCATCACTACCCAAAGCATGCTAGTCAAGTGTTAATGCATGCTATACAGGCACACGCAGGTTGAGAATCCTGTCATGCCAAGGTAGGCTTCGTTATAAAGCTGTCTGAATGTCGTAGGCTTTTAGCTTTCTCGTGATAATGATTCTGTATATTGCCATGGATGAGATAAGGTGGATTTTTACCGACAACGGGGAGGGCTCAAGATGATTGTGAACTGAACTGTATTTATTGGGAATTTCTGGGGACCATCTCTTGTTTTTGGTTGAGCTGGCGAGGCCAAATTTTGATTCGAAAGTTCCATCATCAACCCAACGAACAAAATCTAAGCTCCCAATCGTTTCTTTTGCTTTGGTGGTTGTCTCAATCCGTTTATTTTGTTCATCTGTTTCCTTCCAAGTTTTACAACTTGTAAAATACCAGAGTATTGCTTGATTACTAGATGGTGCAAGCAGATGAAGTTCTTTAGGTAATGCTTGTTTTCATTCCAGTCTGTTAGCAGGCCTGGCCTAATGCATGGAACCTGTCCAAGGTGGTCCAGTCTTCTAGGTGTTTATTTGGACCACGGCTACAGCAAATTCGGACAGTGACCAATCAGGCATTCCTATTTGGGGACCTCTCTGACCGAATGAGATGAGATGGCTATTTTGATGTCAATAATACAAATATACAAACAGATCAGATTGCTGAATGGTGTTCTATTTGATAGAGGATATAAGTTGAGGCAATTGCAAAAAAATCTAGTGCTCTAGATCAATTCTCCATTGCTCATATATATAAACCATTTTTTGGGTTGACAAGTCTTGAAAATTTGATAATGGAACCGTCTGCTATGGCCTGTCTTACTTTTTAAATTTAAAGCCTTGGCTTGATTGATAACTGAAGGCCTTGTTTGGCTCTTTCTCACATCAAGATCCAACAAAAAGCAATAAAAAATGTGTTTGCCTCACAACCACAATGGAGTTCCAAATAGAGAATCCAACGCCTCTTTGATCTCTCAATACGTAATGAACCCTTTTCCTTTTGCATGTGGATCTGCTTTTGCCCTTTTTCATAGACTGCATCAACCTTCAGCCTTTTTTCCACTTTTTCGCATTTGGCCACACCCTTGACCGCTCCCACCTCACCCTTTGCAATTTTGAGCCCAAAATCCCATGGTGGGTCACCCTCCCATTCTTCGGGACCACCCAGAAAAACAAGCAGCTTGGGATTTGGGACCATCTTGTGAATTTTATAAACTAAAGACTTACCTTATTAGTTTTAGACTTCACTTGTTTTTTGTTCTGAATGCTAATTTATTACATCTTAGCTTTAGATCTTTTATGTGTGATGTCTTGAAGCTAATAGCATACTGAAATCTCATGCATGTGATTGTTTTATAGCGTGAGCCCAAGTTATAGGAATTCTAATGTTTCCATCCTTTACGTGGATATTCCTCTCCCCATTGAGGCATCTAGGCTTGGAATGGAGAAATGCAATTGGAATCTGCATTTTCAAGTTATACCAATCTATTAATTCACTTAAAAAAGAAATTAACACTTCACCTAAATTCTAATAGTTGTGATCCAATTTTATTTATTTAAATATGATTCTTATCATAAGATGAACAAAGGACAATATAAATGGTGAAACAGAAAAATGTGATGAAGAAGACTATAATTCTCTCATCCCCATTTAATCACAACAATCCTATAAATCTCGCATCTAAACATTTATCATGTTGCTTGAAAGACTAAAGCAGATTTGAAAACTGACATTTTAAGCTCTGATTAAGAGAATAATTTGCTCAATCTTTTAAGGTAATAGCTTGGGCCACCAAGCTTTGTTTCCGTAACAAAAAGGCTTTGCAATAATGAGTCATGAGCCATGAATACAGAGAAACCTATTCAGAGAAAAAAGTTTGGTGCACTCACCATCTTTTGGGTGAATGGCTGTGCTTGAAAGCACATGAACACTCACCTGCTTCTGCTAATAAAAATTATTTTAAAACTAACATTGAATCCATGCATCTAATCTTTCTTTTTTCTTGAATATCTTCATCTCATTATACATATATCTTCATCTCATTGCACGAAGAAGAGCAAGTGAAGTATAAGTTTTAAGCTCCAACCCTCTTCTTCTCTTCATCTCTTTTGTTTGCTTTTGTTTCTTTGCTGCTTCACTCTTTTCAAGACCTTTAAAAGCTAGGACTTTCATCCATTTTTTATTACTGTATACATATAGAAAAACTTACTGTATAACCATAGGACTTTCAAGTTTCCCGCTCTGCAACTTAGAAAAAACAAAGGGTATACAAAGAAACTTCATTCTCTGTCATCTTTTATTAACTTTCAGAGTTTCAATGGCCACCTTGACTTCTTGCTTTTCCTTTTTGCATTTCTTTTTTTCAGGTCATGAAAATATTGGTAGTAGTAAGAGTGTAGATTTTGTTGCATTGTTGAATTGTTTTGAGTCCGAAAAGCCAAAGAAAAATAAAGATGAATACAAGAGTTCGCACCGCTCTTCAGTCCATGAAAGCTCCTTTAAACCATGACAGCAATAAAGTGACTTCTCTCTTCCCTCTTTCCTTTCATTTATTCTTTATAATTTTGACCCTTTATTGGCTTTTACAAGATTTGAATATTGGGTTTTAGTTAATTGTTAGTTTGAGTGGCCAAAGGCTAATTCTTGGGGGCTAAAAAGTTGAAACTTCAAAGAAACTTGGGATTTTTTTTTTTTTTTGAAAATTTTGGAATTGATTGGGACATTATTGCTTGTTTCATAAAAGAGAAGTAGGAAGCACTTTTGATCCAAAATTTGAACTGGTATTAATACTTGTCTCAAGAAACGAACAGTGTCTTCTTTAAGTTTCTCTCTTTCAATTATTTAGTGGAGTTATCATTTTTTTCTTGATCATGCAAAAGAAGGAGAAGATGGAGAAGAGTCAGGGAAGTAGAGCATTTGGTACCGGCAAAGCTGTGACCAATCGGCGAAGATCAAACAGGGAAAGGAAAATGGCCTTATTACAAGATGTACCTAAAATTATTCACCTTATAATCTATTCAATTTCTTTTTTTTTTTTGCAATTTTCACATTTTTTGTTTTATTGTTGTGATGTTGGTATAATTTGTAGGTTGATAAGCTAAAAAGAAAGCTAAGACATGAAGAGAATGTGCATAGAGCTTTGGAGGGAGCTTTTACTAGACCTTTAGGAGCACTTCCTAGGCTTCCTCCTTACCTTCCTCCATATGTAAGTGCAACTTTCAATCTAGATCAGTTTCTCTTCTCTTTCTTTCTGTTCCTTCAATACAGTACTATAAACAAGCCTAAAGAGAAGATGAGAATGAACTGCATGCTACATTTATGGAATTGTTTGAGGAAAAAATGTTTAGTTAACCACTCAGATACTTAAAAATTGGAAACTTTTTCATGCTTTATGTAAATATGGTTTAGACAGTGAGTTGGGTTTTGATTTCTTTTTTTGGGTTGTAGACACTAGAGCTAGTTGCTGAAGTAGCTGTTTTGGAAGAGGAAGTTATTAGGCTTGAAGAACAAGTAGTCAATTTTAGACAAGGTCTCTATCAAGAGACTGTCTATGCATTTTCCAAGAGGAATGTGGAGAATTTGATTGAATCCATGGAGCAATCTCCAGTCAGAAGTTCTAAACACCAGAGATCGAAGTCTTTGTCTGTAAACGAGATGAGTTCGGTAACAACCATTGTTAGGCCTCAACCTTCTCTTGCCAGAAGTGTTTCAAGCAGAAAGCTACTGTCTCCAGATACTATTTATGATAAAGCTGGGCAGTGCTTTAGCAGGCCAACAAATGGGAGACAAACTTCCATAAAACCCAGTTCTGCTTGTGGAGATGTAAGAGGAAGAGCGAATGAGTCATTTGCCAATGCTGTGAAGGATAAGGAATCTCCCGAAAAGAAAAATTCCAAAGTTGTGACCCCAGTGAAGAGACTTCCAGCCAAGCATGAATCAGCAGACAAATGTTTGGATCTTCTGAAGTCACAGGTATTTGCTGATTTCTGGTTAAAAAAAGTAGTATCCACTTCATTATGGTTGTATAAATTGTGGGTTTTTTGACTGTCCAGCTAGATGGTAGATTAGTAGACCAGGAAAGAGCACAAGAAAACCCTTCTGGATCTTCAGATGATAAAGTATCAGAAGCTGATTGTACACCAAACCAAATATCTGAAGATACTGTGAGATGCCTGTTTAGCATTTTCAGAAGGTTGAGCACCTTGAAAGACAAAGCCATGGAATCCGGGACTTTACCTTCCCAATCAGTAGTCAATTCTCATGAAAGAAATAAAGAAAGTGAATACCAAGACCCTTATGGTATCTGTTCAGAATTGACAACTAGAGATATTGGCCCCTACAAGCATCTTTGTGCAATTGAAGCTAATTCAGTTGATCTAAACCAAAGAACGAACGCTTTGTTTCTGATGCGTAGATTAAAGTAAGTTATTTGGTTGGTTGGTCTTGCTTATATGTTAACATTTGTATTCAGCCTATCTCTATGAAAATGATTTCAGGTTTCTACTTGGGAAGCTAGCCTCTGTCAGTTTAGAGGGTCTTAGCCATCAGCAGAAGCTTGCATTCTGGATAAACAACTATAATTCCTCTATTATGAATGTAAGAATGCTATTTTGATTAGAACTTTAATACATTCCATTTTCAAGAAAAAGCAAGAGCATAACACTTATCCTATCAATCTGTTAGGCAATTTTGGAGCATGGGATTCCTGAGTCTCCTAAAACAGTCATAGCCTTAATGCAAAAGGTTTGGTTCATCAATCATTCTTATTATTTCTATCGTTTCTTCCACTGGTTAGTTTTGCTAAGAAAGATGATCATATTTGATCAATTGTCATTCATATATTGAAACTTGAATATATGCTGTCTCTAATAGAAGCTAGAAATAATTTAATATATAATGCCAGAGACAAGGCTAGCTAGAGGGGAAACATGAAATGATTTGCCAAAGATACTATTATTGGAGCCATTTTATTCTGCGCTCATCACAAATCTCTGAAGTTATTGAAGCTGCTAACTAACACTTGGCTCTGGATTTGTTAGCCGTTGGCCTGTTGCACATATATACCCCTCACTATATTAAACAATAGTTGCTGCATTTGAATTACTGTTGACATTAGCTTTTGGACAAGTCGACTAAAATTTGTCTATGTTTATGGCTGCCTCAGGCTACCATAGTTGTCGGAGGACACATGCTAAATGCAATAACAATTGAGCACTTCATTTTAAGGTTGCCTTTCCATTTGAAATTTGTAAGTAAAATTGTTCGTCTCTATTGAATATACTTTTGCAAGGGAGAGGATTGAATGAAACATTAAGTTTTTCTATCTTGGGCTTGGGGGTTGTGATATTTTAAAGCAAATTTGATATTGCTAACCGGATATATCTTTTCCTCTTTCTATTAAAGACCTGTCCTAAAGCAGCAAAAAATTATGGGATGAAAGCACACAATATATTTGGTTTGGAGTGGTCCGAACCCTTGGTTACATTTGCTCTTGCATGTGGAAGCTGGTCATCTCCCGCTGTAAGTTTGCTTCAAAATCATTCTCCATTTTTGTAGTGTAGTGAAACATTTACAATCTGATGATACTCTATAATCAGCTTATTCGAATAATGCTTATTCGAAATTTTCGATACCACTCTATAATCAGCTTCATCATCAAAATGCCCTGAAAGATAAATATATATTTACAGAACTCCCCACCATTACCAACCCTTTCCCCAAAATTCAAAGGGATATTGAGGTTCAAAACTTTCTGGTGGTTAATGCTGTCTTATAATCCTCTATGTTAATGAATATTATTTCATGTTTTTTAAGTGCTGAAATGCAAGCTTTGCTAATAAAGGTGAGAGTCTACACAGCATCCAATGTTGAAGATGAGCTGGAAACAGCTAAGAGAGACTACCTACAGGCAGCAGTTGGGCATTTCAAGAACAAACAAGTTAATAATTCCAAAGCTTTTGGATTGGTATCTGCTTGATTTTGCCAAGGATTTGGAATCATTGCTGGTTGGGTTTGTCTTCAGCTACCAAATAAACTGAGGAATGAAGCAGTAAAATGCCTAGAAAGAAAGGGGAAGAAAGGGGAAAGAATCTCTTTCACAACTAGTGCAAGTAATGCCATATGATTTCAGTTTCAGATTGCTTTTACACCGTTGAGAATTATATTTCGGGATCGATCCACCGGTCTGCAAAGGCTCATGAACTTGCTGTTGGTATGAATTACTAACAAATAGAAACAGTGAAAGTACATATATAATCTAGCATCTGCAAAAAGAAAGAGAGTGGAGTTAAATAACTGGTTTTACTTGCAAATGGATTCTGGGGTTGGTGACTGATTCATTGGAATTGATTTTTTCAGAGCATTCATTTATGTTACTGTTTTGTGCCTTCTTTTTTCTCTTTCAAAACATGAATTGAGAGTTGCTAGGAGTGTTTGTTTTTTAGCTTTACCAATTGATGCAAAGTGTTCTCTCTTTTAATTGCTTCTCTAAGGTCTTTCTTTAATGGAAACATGGCTATTGTTGTACCAAATAGCACAAGGAAACAACCAAGTGATGATCCTATTTCCCATGCACGAGCAAAAACGTTGGAAGAACAAAAAAGAGAAAGTTTTCTTGCTCTGTCCCTGGTGTGTTTTTGTTGACAAGAAAGCAGCTGCAAGCAATGTGAAATTTGATCCAACCATTTTCAGAAATCGTAGTCTTACGAAACAATCAATGATTTATAGATGCTCTGTCGTATTTCATCACTGGTATAGACTTGTCGTGAGTTCTATCTTTATTCTCACTGGGTAATTCGAAAAGAGCCTGTGAAACACCCACCCTTTATGAGAAATTGAGCCAACAAATAAACGAAGAAAGAGTACGTGTGCATATAAGATCAAATATAGTCTAGGAACTACCAAATTACTGGGAAACAGATAATTGTTTTAAGACTGAAATCGGAAACATCAATCAAAATTTTGTTTATAATGGCCAAATCATCAAAGCTATTTACAGACCAGGGAATTCGTATGCTGTTTACAAACTATGAAAATTTGAATGTGAAATATTACAACACAGGGAGGTCCTAAGTCACAACAAATGGGGCTGAAGATGATATGAAATAAAAAAATAAATAAAAAGGAAAAGGATGAGTAAGAACAAGGGAGGAAACAGAATCATACATAAACGAATGAAAATATAAATCATATGCCCAGTGGCCGCTGCTAGATTCTCGATGATAAAGGAACCAAACTTTGGAAGGAGTCAAAAACAGAAGAAAGATGAGTGCCTCAGAATGGAGATTTCTATAGCAGAGGAATCTCCTTAGAATTAGGACAAAAACCTATGACATTGAGGGCGGCCTTCCAGAAGAGTTTGATAGATTATAGATAAATGGTGAAGGAACTAGGCCTGCCCCACAAAGATCACAAACATCATATCCGATAGTTGACGGACGGCTGAGAGTGGCACCACAGAACTGAGAGGGATCTTCGGGTGGATCAATAGACTTGTTGGTTAAACCCTTCTGAACTCAATTGTCGGTCAGACTCCTCAATTCCTCTAGCTTACCTGGAGGTGCCTTAGACAGGAGAAGTTCAAGCATCTGCTTGGCATAAGCATATTTCTGAACAACCATATTTTGTTTTATGGCAGTGGGAATGCAATTTATTCAGTGCTTTGACTGTAGAGGCAAAGAACCCAGATGTCTAGATAGTCTAGCCAACTCATCTTTTGCGCCCTTGGGCCTTGGACTTTCTGCAACCTTGTAATTTCCTGCAGGAGAACCAAAGCAATATCCGGTCATGAAAGATAATTTCATGTTTGAAACTAAAAAATAAAAGATTGACACTTGGGACTTTTAAATAGGCACAAAGTAAGCAAATGCTACTGCTAAGCTTAGCATATCCACCAACCATTTAGATTCTAAGAAATAAAAGAAATTCAAAATATTTCCTTATTCTGGAGTAACTTTCAAGAAACAAGTTCATTGGCAGTAAAATCTTAAGATTGAACTAATACCAAACTTAGACTACATTTGGATGAGTAGAGATTGACTCATATGAGATTAAAATCAGTAATAAAAATTATTATAATTGTTATTGAAAAAAAAATTTATAAAAAAATTTATACTAAATAGATTTATTGAGATTGACATTTCGATTCAACTGATGATGTAAATTTAATTGAACTACAATGCTGTAGAATCCAAACCCTCAATTAGTATCCTCTTCCAACCACATTAACTGATCTAATGATTGTACTAATACCAATCTTAACATCCACTAATTCTATTTCCACGATAATTGAATGCAAATTTATGGCCTCTTCGGAGCTAAAAATTTCAAATTTCGGAACCAACCTCAAGGATAGCAATGAAAGAGTGGACACTTGTAGGCTATAAGACATTCGAACCACAGGGGAGCCAATGTCTATAGGAGATAACTTACTTCCCGTTAAAGCATCAAATTCTGCAAACCAAAAAGATCCATTTTTTGTTTGTTTAAAGAAGATTTAACTTCTAAATTATAAAAATTTCCAAACTATATCCAAATTCTGAAAAATTGACAAAAGTTGATATTACCGATGACATAACTACCGATGGCGGCGGCAATGAGAGCCTGCGTAGGATGAAAAGCGGCGGCGTGTGGCTGCAACTGTTTGAGAATGCATCGGGCGACGTGCCGTAGATTCAAGTGGTGCAACGTAGCCCATTTATGATTATTTGGTGGCTGATGGGCTAGATTGGGCTTTGGTTTTAAAGTCTGGAAGCTGTGTTTAGTTTGTGACAAACTCCAAAGAAAAATGGGAAAAACTGCATAATTTTTTTATTCAATTCTAATCATACTTAACTCAAGTACAACTTGAGAATTACATTTTTCGGATCATAATTTTTTATTCACCTCCTTTTATAAAATACTAGGATTATAAATAACTATAAGGATTTTTTCAAACAAAATCCCTTTTTTCTATTTAAAAAGATATTCTAAGTTTTAAGAATACACAAATCAACAACTCGTTTCAAATCTGATAATGAAATATAACCTTTTGTTTAAATTTAATCATTTCAAATTTGAATTCAAATTATAAGATTTAAATCATTAAAAACCTACCCATTGTTTTAAAGGATTGACCATATCCATTACCATTATTTATTTATTTTTATCTTTTTTCCATGAACTTTTACCGGACAAAGACTCCTTTTGTTGCCTCTTCTGTTTTTGTAATCCAACTTACAGTCTTGGATCAATTAGTTTCTGGTTTTTGGGCAATTATGGAAGCACACAAGAAACTGAGGAAGGTTGGTTTAAAGACAGAAGGATTTAAGGGCAAGAACTTTTGATTACAGATTATAGAACACAGACGATGTTGATACAACAGCAATCATGGTCTCACAAGGCTAAGTCGAAATATGTCAGATTATCAAGTCTCTTCTAACCAGTTGAGAAATATTCTCACCTGCAATTCAACACATTTTTTTAAACTACAACTTTACAGTGGAAAACATAATATGCCTAAAGCTTTGTCAATGTTAAGTTTGCACTTGCACCGAGGTTCATGGCTTCGATCATGTGTTCTTATAAGCTTGTGCCAGACAGATGAAATAGCCAAAACCAATAGCACTTGGGGGGAATCGATTGCGGTTTCAAAATTCCCTCTACCTCTATTTTATTCAGGCTGGTAAAGACCTGACCTGATTCATTTCTTAGGCGAAACAGCTCAGGAAAGACGCAATTCTTGGAGCTCTTACGGAAGTTCTACAACTTCTATTGAGCTTTCGCAAGGGTTCGGCAGGATACACCATGCAATAATTTGACAAATCCAAGAAAACTCAGCTTCCCATCGGTATGCCTAATCCAGTCATGAAGGATGACATGAACAGGCACAGATGGACCCAGTCCAAGTTCCTGAAAGGTTATAGTCAAAATTCTAGAGATTAGTTTAGGTTTATGTTGCTCACAGCTAACAAACATCCCAAAAAAGTAAAACAAAACAAAAGAAAGCAATTGAACTTTACTGCTCAACATAACATAGAAACTCAAATTTCCATTGTTAAATTTATACAAATCCCAAGAAAAAGAAGCTACAATAATAAACATCAACATCAATAGTAGTTGAAAACATTTTCAACAAATAAAAGAGAATCAAGGCCACATCATACAACAAATAAAAGAGAACATTTTTGAGTAAAGGACAGAAACATAAATGTCATAAATACAACTTAATAAGTTTTCTATGCCTATCAACCAACCCACATCATCTTCTAAATAATGTGCTCAATGGTAATAATAGGAATTAAATAATCAAGCAAAAGGGGAATACATGCAAAAAGTTTTCTGGGTCAAGCAAGGGGAGATCAACATACCGAAGCTAGCTCTTCAATGACAATAGCTCTGTTTCCATCCTTCTCAAAAAGTTCATAAGCACAACGAGCATGTTGTTCCCACCGATCAAGAGCCTCCAGCTGATGAACACTTAATGCAGCTGCACAGAATTCATCAAAGTCCATCCGTCTGTATTGAAGTGCATTTAACTACCACAAAAGGAAAAAATGAACAAAATTAGAGATTCACACTACCATTTGACTTAAATATAGATTGCCACACCAATCAAAAAAAGAAGAAGCACCTACTGATGCTAGAAATTCAGGAATGCGAGAATCCTTCATAGCATCTGTTGCATATTTCATCAGAGCCTGACCAGGGCAAGAGCATTAGATGATTATTCACAAGAAAACCGCTGAAAATTTGCAAGATTATCGGAAAAAACCTACCACTTTAACATTTTCTAAGCTTATAGTGCCATTTTTGTTTGGTTCCAATAGTGCAAACTGCTCCTTCAAGTAAAATAGCTCATCCACAGTCAAGGTTTTAGACAGAGCCTGCAAAAATACCAATGAAAACAGAAATAAGAAAATTGAAAAATACAGGAGCTAGAAATCCCATGCAGAAAGAGGAAAATTTTGCATTATAAAGATCGGAAACCTATTAGGGTTAACTGGAGGAGGCTTCGAGCAATAAAAACCTCTAACCAAAATAAGATAAACAATTAAAGTACCCTCTCACTTCACAATGGAAACAGGTACAAACTGTTTCATGAGTAAGTGCTAAAACAAAGTTTATGAGTACACTTATTTGTAACCTTCAATAATTATTTAGCACCAATACAGAAGCCACGAGGTGGTTCACACATTCAGGCCCAAATTGATAGCAGTTTTAAAGAAAATTTGTTTTATGCTTAAAATCAAATTATAAACCATCCTATGTTGACCACCTAAGCAACTTTCTAAGTTGGCCCCAGATTCACCTAAGCCGTTCTAACCAAAAACTTACCAAACCATGCCTAAGAGAGACAAGTAGAAAACACATCAAAAGAGAGATGTGTTTTTTACACACGTGCATAAACACTCAAAGAAATAGATCTAGAGAATAATGTTTATATCTATCACATATACACACCCTTAACGCAGCTTTCCGAAGAGATGAAGACCGCAGGTAAGCCTTCATGAGTTTGAATATCATTATATCCAATGGCACTTTCACATCGTTATAATTTTTTATCCAGGGATGACCTGCAGCAAACAATTGTGACTAAAAATTTCAAGAACATAAGAATGATGAGCTTATGACAGAAGATGAGGCACTCACTCAGGGCTTGGGCTGCAGTCAATCTTTTCCTTGGATCCTTATTCAGTAAACGCTTCACAAAATCTCTAGCCTCAGAAGATAGAGATGGCCAAGGCCCTTCATCAAAACTTGGATCAGCCTTTAAAACAGCTCGAAAAATCCCAGACTCAGTTCGGGCCCAAAATGGACGACTACCACACAACAAAATATATGCAATCACACCTATACTCCAGACATCTGCTTCCGTACTGTAAGACCTATGTAGAACTTCTGGTGCTACATAGTATGCACTACCAACAATGTCATTAAGCCTTTCATCTGCAAATGGAAAAAGACAGAAAAAGTTAACAAATTAATCAACTAACTAAAGCAGTATAGCTTAAGCAAAATGAATGTGAGTGCAAACCTGGCTTCACAAAATCTGACAAGCCAAAGTCTATGGCCTTCAATTGTGAATTTTCATCCTTTGACATATACAAGAAATTCTGATCCAGAAAATAGCTAAAATTAGAACAATATCAGGTGGGTCAAGCTTTTATAATATAACTATTAAAACCTTCTGTCCTAAGAAGATAAAAATGCAATAAACTAGAACGGAACACAATCAATAAAATAAGCAGTAGTTTTTTGGCTAGGCTCAGGTAGTTGTTCTTGAAGGTTACTGCTTAACCAGAATACTTAGCCCAAGTTTATCCTCATGGAAAACCCTTATATAGATAGACCTTAGAAATCTTACATAGGACCTCCAAAACCAGTGCAATACAACTCAATAAACAATATCAGAAAACCTGATTAAAACTGGAAAGATATTTCACCTCAGGTTTAAGATCCCGATGCACAACACCCTGGAGATGGCAAAAGGAAACAACATTAAGTATCTGAATCATCACAGCTTTTGCATCATCCTCACAGTATTTTCCACCCCTGCATGAATAGAAGAATACACTTCATAAGTAATCAAATCCTAATAAAGCTTCATTCATCCTCAACTCCTATATTTTGCCAGTCAATAAGATACAGAACTGTGAAGCAGATATTATTAGAAGAAATACCTTGCAAGAATTCTGTCCAAGAGCTCCCCTCCTTCACATAATCTGAAAGATTCATGGTAAATTATCCTCATCAAAACAAAACAAAACATACCAAACACAAAATCGATTCACGTTTTTCATATAGTACTTACTCCATTACTATGTAGATATTATCGTGGTCCTCATATGCATCGTAGAATTGTACTAAATTGCTATGTCCAGACAAAGCTCTTAATATTTTTACCTCCCTTCTAACATCCTCAATGGCAATTGCCGTGGTCATCTATCAACAAACAACAAAATCAACAATGAGAAAAACAAAAAGCAATTATCATAACATGACAGTTCAATAGCACAAAATAGCTACTACCCTGAAATAAAATCTTTCCTAAGGCATTCCTTCAACGTCAAAAGTTTTCAACCAAATCGATAAACAAAAAAGGCAAATTTTCAAATAATTAAAAACAACAAAAAAATTAAAAAGACACCTTTGCTTTAGGTATAACTTTAACGGCAACTTGCTGTCCTTTAAGCTCTCCTTTCTTAAACTTTGCCGCACAAGTATAACCGAAATGGCCTCTCCCTACCTCGCCTCCGAGCTCATACTTACTACCGAAGTGCTTCGAGAAACCGAAGCTCTTATCCAGTCCAGCACCGGCAGCTCCCGCATCCGCCTCGCTTCCTTCCGGTATCGCAGCTTCATTTGGCTTCACAGACCCATGCCGCCTCGCAAGCACTGCTCTAATATGCTTCGCCGGCGACGGAGGAGGGAACGGCCTCCTGAAAAACCGTTTCGGAGTTGAATTGGCCGAAGATCTCGCCGGAGACTTTTTGGAGAACAAGTAATGAGCTGGACTCGGACTATAAAACGGGAAAAACGGCGATTTCTTGCCTTCATTGTTGGAATTTGAGCTTGCCTTCTCTTCTTCCTCTTTACTTTGATCTTCCTTAGGGTTCTGGTTTTGATTCCCGTTCACTACATCTGGTAAGGGCGAACTTGGAATACAGTTAGCCTTACCGTGAATATCGTTATTCCGGGGATGGATAGGGGTATTTCTGGAATCAGGTTTAGGAGAAAACGAAGTGTTTGGGGAGGTTTTGGAAGTGCAAAGACCCATTGAAGAGTAAGCTTATCTCTTTCTTTTTCCCCCCAAACAGAGAGTAGGATTTTAAATCTTTCCTTAAACCATTTGAAGCTGGATAAAATTGAAATGAAAATTTTAAAAAAATTATTTTTTTCTTCTTTAGAAAAACCGAAGCTTTTTTTTTTTTTTTTTGTCTCTGCTGTTTCAGAGTGTTTATTGGAAAGATGGGGGGATCTGCAGATGAAGATAAAAGGGAAACGACGATGAGTCCACTTTTTCGTTTATTAAAAAAATAGGGAGGCGAGTAATTAATTTCTTTTTATTAATTTTGTTGCTGTAATATGCTTTTTTTAATTGAAAAACATGGGTTAGGT